GCAGTTTACCAATAAGGACCAGGTAACAATAATAGAAATAGTAGTACAAAGAAAACTTGTTCGAATCCGACAGGGAATAACATAAGTTCGCTAAGTTTTCCCTCTTGTTTTTGCAGAATCCGAAATACACAAAGCAAATGAAAGAAGGAATAAAATTAAGAGTCCATACAACCCCAAATAGCTTTGATTCCGCATAACAGAGAATAGTTGAAACTTTGTAAAAAATATATAGTAAAATTGAGGATGTACACTTACTACTATACGATGTAAAACACGATTTCTAAAAACACAATTATTTTTCACTATTATTAACCACAAAGGAAACTAATTGAAAGCCGAAGAGGAAGCATGATGAGTTACTTTATACAACACAACGACTTCATTAAAAACCCGAGCAGAAATAATAGTGGAAGACGAGCATAGACAAGGATGCTCGAGAATAAGTTACTTTGATCAAACTAAAAGTAAAGTAGGTAGAGGACCTTTAATTAGGTTCCAATAAGTCGGGAAGTCCTTTTTTGCTTAGACCACTAATTAAACTTATGATGATGGCGAGGACAAGTTCGCGTTGGGGATCGTTTGTCACCTCGCATTTAGAGCTCATGAATGAACTGCAACGTAGACCGTAGCACTTACTTTCTGTTATCTAGGGGTGGGCAATGAACCACGTTTTTAAAAATCTTTGTTGAGTTTGCAAAAGGTTGATACAGTTGGTAGTGTACGTACTCTGCAGTTTACATAATATATTAATAAAAAATAAAATTTATTACCAAAACTTAATCTCCTTCCTGTTCTCTGCGTGCAGGGCGCGGAGGAGAACTGGGGGGAGATGGCACAAGATAGGACGCGCTGGTGCCAACTCGTATCGGTCAAGACTCACTTCGAATCGCTGAGTCAACGGAGTAAGTAAGAAAGTAGGTAACTTAACCTATTCTTACAGTTCATCAACCCAATGCAATTAACCAACAAAATTACTACATGTGAAATAAAATGTAAATTGATATTAAATAAAAAAAGCTATCAGGAACACACAAGCCTAATCGAGTAGCATCGGAATGGATAATTATCTCTGAATACTTTCAACAAGTATACTGCTAACGCTTAGTTCGTGCGCACTTATAGTTCATTATACTCTACCAAACCTAAGATGAAAGGATTAGGGGATAGACGGGGTAAACCCCACCGCCTCGAGTACAGGTATCTTAAGAATTTATTTTGAATGCGCTCCAGCTTCAAACGATACCGTATTTGATGCGATGCCCGAACTATGGCATTACTCTCGAGAAGATTTGTTATATGGGCATTATAAAATATTATTATATTAAAAAAATAATAATTTTAACAAAAAAAGTTTGTATTTTTGTAATTGTGGGTAATTACACAAGCTAACTAAAACTTAGTGTTTGAGTTGGCGTTTATAATTGAAACACCATGAATATATATATATATATTATTAAAGTTTATTTTTAACTTACATTGAACTACATGAGTTGAATGGCGACATAGATGAGAGAAAAAATACAGGTGTTGCCAGCAATAATTATATTACCAAATTTTGTGTTGTTTGTTACTAACACTTAGCCTTTTAATCACTTCTTCTAAAGTACGAAAAACGATACAAAACTAATAAGTCCTGATAAATAGAGCTCGGACTATGATGGCTACAATTGGAAAGGGTGCTGGTGAAATTACAGGCGCATGGGACTTGTCAACTTATGTCTCAGAGTGCAGTGGCAGTGCCCCTCAGATCTTTGCGATTTAAAGCTTTGAATGGCACTGCAACTGTTATGGGCAGGCGTGTAGCTTACCATCAGGTGCAGGATTTGTTCGTTCTGTCATTTAATATTATAAAAAAAGGGGCTCAGAGAGAACTTTATGTCTCAGGGCGACAGGCGCAGTGGCTCCTCAGACCTCAGCGATTTTTAAGCGCTGAGTGGCACTGCAACAGTTTTGCGTACACGACTAGTTCGTCCCGCCTCTTGGTATGATAAAAAAAAGACTTTAAAGTGTGTAGAGTAGCTACTACTCTTTATTTAGTTTATATTTAATTAATTTCCTTGGCATGTTGTTAAGGAATAAATATAGCTTTACAGCCCTAACCTAAATTCACATGGGTTTCAAAACGTAGGAACAATATAATATTGTAATTCTGAATTCTAATAAATAGATGATAAATCTGATAATTACTAAACATAGAAATTTGGAAGCGGGAGCACTCGGAAATCCGAAAATTGAAATGCTGTACTATAAGCAAAATAACACGCAGGTATGCCAGTCGTATTACATGAGAGGCACCTGCGCCTTCTTTCTGTAAGAATACAGGCAGTCCTATGCTTTGTTATTTAGCAGCCAAGCCAGCAGTTCTAAGTGCACCGAATGGACGGTAATGGCCCTCCGTAGTTGTTACTTTATAAATTCGTAAAAATACATCTACCATTGCAGCTGTTACCTTCTGCCGCCACGCAGTAATGTGAGCATTAGTAAGGTAAGTATGCTGGTGAAATTACAGGCACATGGGTCTTGTAAACATTATGTCTCGAGGTGACGGCCGCAGTGGCAATGCCCTTCAGATCAAAGCGACATACCTGGTCACATCAAGTTTTCGAACTTCGTTCTCTAGGTGGGTGGCATGTCAACAACATAAGGATAAGGTATGTAAAATTTCCAACCGATAGAAGGAGGATCCATGGAAATAAACTGAAAATTTCCTGCACGTACTTCTCAGAAATGTATTATATGAAATTAAAATGTTTACTTGTGTGATTTTTCGGTATCAAAAAATCTACCAATAATGGCGAATAAATGTTCTCTTAAAAATTACTGTAAATTATGGTTTTTATTCACAGATTTCATTTCATTTAAAATGTATTATTATGTCAAAGTATTTAAATCATACCATGTTTAGGATGTCAATATTATAATGTCATTACAATTTTACCGTCCTATTTAATTACATAAGTTACGTTACATCACAAGTTACAGATTACATTAAACATCTATGGTGTCAATCTTTTAAGGTAAGAGACGTCGGTTTACTTATTGTACGAGTTATTTTTGCTGTCCAGAAATTCTTTTACGGAGTGGTAACAATCGTTAATTAATATTATATATATTTTATGTGTAAGTGAATTGGATGGCAACACGTTTAGGTCACTGGGTAGCGAGTTAAATATCTTTATGGCCATAAAGAACAGACTAATTTCTGTACTCGTCAATCGGCAATATGGTGCTCCTAACAAATTATACAAAATGCTGTCGGAGTTGATGTCGTGCATGTCGTGTAACACGTAAAAGTTCCATGTCTTAAAAAATTCTGGCTAGTACTTTACAAATGTATCTATTTGCTTTATGTAAATGCACGGGAGTGTGAGAATATTCAGATTATATCCGATGGAAAACCGAGAAGACGGCCACAAAGGGTGCTGGTGAAATACTGTTATGGACAGGCGTGTAGTTTACCATCAGGTGCACGATTTGTTCGTCCCGTCACTTGATATAAAACATACATACATATATAGTGACGGGACTCTTTTATATTTAAAAGAACCTACTTCAAAAGTAGATGTCTTTATTTTTATAAAAGTAAACAAGATTCTTTTTTTATAGACAATTTAGTTCTTGGGAAATGAAACTGTATATGTATATTTTTTATTAATATTTATTTTCCAAATTTAAATGGTAGCACTACTGAGGTACTCGGTTGCCGGTAACAAACACGTAAAAAAATACAGTCAAGAACGTCGTCTGTTTTTCGTTAATAATATTTTTATCTAATTATCTACATACGTAATTTTAATATATAGAATGCTTTGGAATTTAAATTGCATATAGGAAATGAAACTATTTTTCCGGATTTAAATCGCGTATATTTGTTTTTTCAAACAAACCGACGTTTCGGACCCTTAACAGACCATGACCATGAGACGTCACGGTTGAATGAGGTGGTACAGTCAACAACCAGTTATGTCTAATGTTAATACAAACCAAGCTATTTTTTCACTATAGTTACAAAAGTTATTAATTAAATACCTTATTTTTAATTTTACAAAGAAATATTCCAATTTACGCTATATTACGATTTACAAATTATTTTTTTGAATTAATTTTTATTAACCCTTAATCGGATGCGAGCTAATCGGCTAGTAATGATAGGTTTTTCAGTTTATTCTGGTTAAATATAATATAAAGAAGAAACCCAATTTATAAGAAATTAAAAAAAAAATAGTAGGGTTGGTTTTTTTAAGGTGGACAATATGCGACCATTGTCTGATAACTGTGATGAAAAGTGGCAACTATGTGGCCGTTGTCTGAATAGGAAAATAAAACTTCCAGCAATTGTAATGGAAATAAATGTAATACGTAATAATAAAATAATTAAGATTGTTACATGTATTTTTCAGCTAAATGAAACTTTTTAAAACATCCTTTGACGCAGAGAGATACACCACAATATGAACATTTTATATTCGACCTCTTCGTTTCTTTCTTGGTCGAGCAAAACTTGCAACGCTTATATGTCTCCTGTGCTTCCGGGAAGTGCACGCCAACACTCTGAAGACGAATTTCGTCTGGCACACCAAAATTTCCACCTTTCTTATTTTTAAAAATAATTGGCCTCTGTTTTTTGCATGTGAAGTCACTAATAAGTGCTCTTGCAAGTCGCAATCTAAATTCGCGATGAGCAGAATCGCGTTTTGAATGTTTTGTAAGATACAAAACGTAGGAGTTAATTATTGCAGCATCAAACATAAAAAAAAACAAGCGCATCCAAAACTTCCTGGACTTCCTTCCTGTTGGATAGGATGAACGGAAGTGATCAAAATGATCGACGCCGCCCATATACAAAGTATAATCTGCTATCGCTTTCGGACAAAACACCTCTCTCTTCGTGCCATCTTTTTGTGTTCTCTTTACTACAGCAATCTCAGATTGTTTATGTGCAGATGATAGGACCGTCACTTCTTTTGTATCTAACCATTTTGCAGCGACAATAGGCTTACTTGTCATTGCATTGAATTCATTTTTGGCCAGTTTTAATTTTTTGTCCTGTGGTTTTTCCTTCATGAATTCAGGTAACCCTTTTCTGGTCTTCCTTACAGTTCCAGTCGAAAAAATACCATTCTGATACAAAACATCTACAAGTTTGCAACTCGTAAAGAAATTGTCGAATGTGACTAGCGAATCACGAGGTACATTCCTACACAAGTTTGTTACCACTGTGAATCCCAAACCAGCTTCATCTTTATTGTCTGTTTTACCCGTGTAAATTTCGAAACAGTACAAGTACCCAGAGCGCGCATCGCATCGAGCCCACACCTTGTAACCACGTTTTATTGGTTTCATAGGCATGTACTGCTTCATGCAAGATCGACCTTTGAATTTCACCATGCATTCATCCACTGAATATATTCCAGATTCTTCAGCCTGTTGTAGGAATATTACATTGAGGTGTTCTACTAAAGGTCTGAGTTTATGCAACCTGTCGAAGTTTACCGAGTCCCTAGGCGCTGCAGTGCTATTATCATTTACATGTAAATTCTCTAATAACTTCTTGAATCTGTTCAAGCTAAATGTTGATGAAATATCTGGGTTGTTGTAAAAACGATCTGATGACCAATATAACTCAAAATCTGGCAAGGGATGTAAACCCATCATAATCATAACACCTAGAAATGCCTTGATTTCAGTTGGAGTAGTAGGCTGAAAGTTTTTGCTACTTTTTTGAGTAGCATAACGATTTGTTTCAGTTACAATTAGATCAATTATCTTTTTGGAAAAAAAATTGGTAAAGTAGTCAATGGGCTGGCTTTTATGTGAATATGATATTTTTGGACAGAACTTTGATGAAAACTGAGGTATCCGATGAGTATTTTTTTTTATTTTCCAGTCTTCATTAGTTCTTACTGGTCTCAAGTAAGTCAAATCCAATGATGAACGGCTTGCGGCACCAGTGTAATTGTCAGACAAATTGGCAGTGGTAATATCTGCACATATTTCTACCTCATTATTCTCCTCAGGCACAGCCGTTATGTCCACTTCACACACATCATTGTCAGCATTTTGCAAACTGTCCCCAAAAATTTCGTCCAACCTGCGGTCAATAAGGTCGTCATCAGGTAGTTCTGTCATAGCAACTTGAGGAGAAGGCACAAAAGGTTCATCATCGTCGTCTGAATCGATATCCGACCAATTTTCTAGAACTTTTATTAGTGCATTGTTAGACAGTGGCCTATTCGATGACATCTTTCCCTGTAAAAAAATTAAATTGCTCAATTAAGAAAATAACTCTCAAAAACTATAGTAAATTACACAAGATGAAAGATAAACAAATACGAAAAGAACGGACAATGGTCATATATTAGCCACGTACTTTCAACACATTTTTTAGATATAAATTATATTGTAAACTACCGTTTCTGTACCTTCAACACTTAAAAATATCATTAAATCCACAAATAAATCATAATTATTTACTTACCGAAATTTTTCAAGTCACAAATCAAATAATTCAAAAAAAAACGCGGTCAGAGTACCGTTTATGAAACTTTTTACCGCCAATTTGAATTTGACGTTCATTAGCGCTCTATTCTTTTATTTTTTTAGGTAGTACTACCAATATGACAAAATAGAACGTTCTTTCTAGTAAAAAAAATAAAGTTATAATGGATGCGTTCAGATTTTACTACTTTAAATAGTTAAACAATTTGACTTATGTAGGTGGCATGTATTCTACCATTGTTTGAATAAGGGTTAAGTTCAATTTATTATTAATTAATAATAGAAATTAGAAATTACAATTTAAATTGCATTTTAATCATCGTGTTTCTTCTTGTGTGTGTATGTGTATTTGATCGTAGGCAATGTACAAGGCTGAATCATATACCCATTTCACATGTTTGAAAAAAAAACCGACTTCAAACTTTGCAATCGGTTACCGGCGACCACCCTTCGGGGTGAAACATTTTCTCCAAATTTAAATGGGATCAAAGGGCCTACCATAACCTTTCCAAAAACAGTAGCTTATTATAATTAATAATAATAGGGGTTAAAGTATGAAATTGCCGATTTGTACTGAAAATCTAAATTGTTTATTTTTTAAATTTTTAACAAATTTATTTAATCAAAATAGTTGCCATTATTATCTATACATTGCTGCCATCTAATGGGAAGGTTATTAATGCCTTTGCGATAGAACTCCGACGATCTAGACTGCACAAACTGTGTGAAAGCATTTTGTACTGCCTCCTGGGAAGAAAACTTCTTGTCACGTAGATAATTGTCCAAATCACGAAAAAAATGGTAGTCCGTTGGAGCAAGGTCTGGTGAATACGGAGGATGACGAATGGTTTCTAACTGCAGTTCCTGAAGGGTCAAAATGGTTTCTCGTGCTGAGTTCGGCACAATAGACATCTGCCGTTATTGCTTGACCAGATCGGAGAAAACTATAGTGAATAACACCATGCTGAGACCACCAAACAGTTACCATTACCTTTTTATTTGTAAGTTTTGCTTTAGGACACTGTTGTGGCATTTTACCTGGGGTCAGCCATTGCATTTTTCTTTTCCGGTTATCATAAAGAATCCACTTTTCATCACATGTTACAATTCGATCCAATATTCCTTCATTTCTGTACCGGTTCAACAAGGCAACACAAGTTTCAACACGCGTTTCTTTCTGCAGATCAGTCAAATCATGAGGTACCCATTTTTCGTATTTTTTTATTTTATTGATTTGACGCAAGTGAGTCAATATTGTGGGTAAGGTAACGTTAAACCATGCCGCTAATTCCTGGGTAGTTTGACTAGGATCGGCTTCCACTATCTCTCTTAATTCATCGTTATTCACCTGTGTGGGCGGTCTTCCTCGTGACTCGTTCTTTAAGTCGAAATTTCCATCACGAAAGCGTTTAAACCAAAATCGCACGGTGCGTTCATTAGTAGACCCCTCTCCAAACGCAGCATTGATATTGCGGGCTGTTTCTGCCGCGTCAGTTCCGCGTCGGAACTCGTATTCAAAGATCACTCGAATTTTCGCAGTATCCATCTTTCTTGTCTAAATTGAATAACAAAAACAATTGAAAGTCGATATTCAAATGTTTCAAATTTAAAAAAAAAATCACAGAAACCATTTGAAAAAAGTTTCATTCGAAAACCTCAAACCATGAAGATTCTATGAAAATTCAAAGAACCTATTGCAATAAAACGGCAATTTCATACTTTAACCCCTAATATAAATTACTCATATTCGAACCATGACGAACCTGTCAACCAAGTAATGTATTATTGTAAAAGTAATCGAAAGAACCAATGATTTCCCAATATTCTCTATTCCTTACTAAAAATAGGAAAGAGATAACGCTATGTGAACTATATAATGCCATGTCTTTCTAGTTTGATGTTCCGATCGTGTTATGTTTACATTCAGAGAATTTTGACTGTAAAAAAGAAATTATGTAATAATAAAATCTATTAAAAAACGCCTTGAATTGAAGAAATAGCAAAATAAACCATTAAAATAATTGCTCCTTAAGTAAAATTTAGACGCTATTTATAAAAATTACGTTTATTTCAATAATTATTCCGCATTTTCATGAAGAAAAATTATATTATAGAAAAATTAAACAAGCTGAGTCTTGATAGTCACGTTGTGAATTCGAAACTACAGTCTAGTGTCAACGGTTAGTTCCGCCAAGGAGTATATAGATGGCGCTGTCATAATTTTACGAAATAGACATCGCGTATTTTTATTTAACGAGAATTTATTTCCTGTGTGCTATTAAATAGAAAATAAACAAAATATTGAAGAGATATATGTAAATAAATAAGTTCAACTTAACATTTAATCATTACAAATCAATATTAAGACAATAAAACTGAAAATAATATTGTTTCCATTGCATCCGCGTAACTATTTTAAGATTGCTAAATTTGACATAAGAGCAATGTTAGGGGTGTTGAGGGGTGTATCTTCACAGTATACTGTATTTGATAAGCCACTGAATGAGGTTGACAATGTCCGTGATCTGGGAGTCTACTTCGACCGCAAGCTTACATTTAGGGACCATATAGATGCAGTTGTTGGGAAGGCCTCACAAATGTTAGGTTTTGTGTTGAGAAATGGTAAGGGGTTTCGCAAGTGCTCTACAAAAATATTACTATATAATGCTCTGGTTCCTAGCCTCCTGGATAACTGTAGTATCATTTGGAGGCCACATTTTACTACACACTCACTGTGTATTGAAAGCATGCAAAAAAGTTTTGTTAGGCATTTGTCATACCTGTGAGTATGGGAGGGAGGCAGTATTCGTATGCCGATCGACTTAGTAGATTAAACATGGTATCTCTGACCAGACAATGAGACATTTGTGATCTTATCTTCGTGTTTATATTGATAAGAGCTAAAATTAATTGTCACCAATTATTGAGGATGATTTCACTTATAGCACCCTCAAGATATCCATGATACGCAATCAAGCTCCTCCATCTATATACTTAGACTTAGACTATCCAGACTGTACAACGACTGCCGTGAATTTGTGGGTTTATTTGGTGCATCACTAACCTGTTAACAGGTACGGAACTATATTTTATTTGAGCTATAACTGTGGCAACGTCATGCCTTATTTATAATACCGTATAATTATAGTTGTACAAGTAATTTTCATTTGTGTTTGTTAACATCTTACTTTCTTCCTATTAGTAATGTTTATCTTTCTATATTTGGTATTAAAAAAAATATATTATACCACATGTTATATATAAATTAAAACTTTATTTAAATTATATATAAAATAGACCTGTCATGTTGTATGAATCAGAATGTTGGGCGATGAAAAGAGAGGACGAACGAACTGTGCATGTATCGGAAATGCGAATGTTGAAATGGATGTGTGGAGTGACGAGAAAGGATAAGATAAGGAATGAGTACATCAGAGAAAGTTTGAAAGTGGCGCCAGTGACAGAAAAGATGAGGAGTAATAGGTTAGCGTGGTATGGACATGTCATGCGGTGGGTAGAATGTCATATGACAAGAAGAGTGCTAGGTATGAATGTGGAGGGATATAAGGGGAAAGGAAGACCAAAGAAAAGATGGATTGATAGTGTGAAAGATGACATGGATAAAAAAGGTGTGAGTATCAAAATGACGGCTGATAGGGGAGAGTGGAAGAAAAATACATGTTGTGCCGACCCCACCTAGCGTGGGATAAGGACAGGAAGAAGAAGATGTTATATATAAATCAAAAGTTTGGATAACTGTATATGTTATGTATGTAAATAATTAACTGTGTTTGACTGTGTTGCATGTGGTGGCAACCTTTAATTGAGTCAACACTTTAGCATTACTCCGTTTGAATTTTATAATCAAAATTGTATGTATTAAGTGTATGGCTTGTTGGTTGTCCAATATAAATAAAAAAGTCGCGTCATAGTACGAACTGAGTGAATGAATAGTCATAAAGCTGCCAATAAAACATCATAGTTAACATTACAATAAGCTTACTCTAAGCTCGTTATGGTACGAAAAGTTAATGTAAGGTTAAAGTAATATTGTTTTAAGAGGTTATGGTAGGCCAAAAAAAAAGGCCCCCAATACTTATTTTCCAACAAGAAAAGTATAATAATTTCGTAACGTACACATAAAATATTCAGTCGATATGAGAACCTCCTTTTTTGAAGTCGGTTGTTTATTAATTTGCTTCGTATTTTGTTGATGACACAAGTGTTTTCATAAATCTACTATATTGGTATACATTTTCATTTTCTTTAGAAAAATGATGTAGTCGGGCTTGTATCACGTTTTCGCTGAATCTATCCTTATCACTCTAGAAATGACAGGTTCAATTGCCAACGTCACAATACACTCGGAATTCATTAAGTGTCGTCTATTCACAAATGTTGGAATGCTATCTTTGTAGTCACGGAAGTTCAAAAATGTGAACACCATACCTGTTCCTTTAAGTGAATATTTCGAAATAAGCAAGGTTGCGTAATTTCAAGGAACTAATATAAGTACAGTTACGTACATTAATATACGCACAAGTAGCGAAATTAATATTAAAATTTCATTTAAAGTATACACTAAAACTCTGACATATTTTGTATAAAAAATAAATTAGCAAATGTTTAAGGAGGAAAAAATTTAAATATTACTTTTCTTATTTTATAATATCAAGTGACGTGACGAACAAGTCGTGCGCCTGGTGGTAAGCTACACGCCTGTCCAGAACGGTAGTAGTGGCACT